AGCAATAATGATTATTTCTCGAAGGAATACAACGCATCGTTCGACTGGCAGTTACCAAAAGGATTCTTCTTATCAAGCGATTTCACTTATACAATTTACAGCCAGCTTTCGGCGGGTTTCAATACAGATATTCCCACGTGGAATGCCAGCATCAGCAAACAATTCCTGAAGTATAACAGGGGTGAACTTAAATTCAGTGCTTATGACCTGTTAAACCGTAATATCGGAGTGACGCGTACAAGTAACCAAAACTATATTGAAGACAGCCGTGTAAATACGCTACGTCGTTTCTTCATGCTGACATTCACGTATAGCCTGAGTAAAACAGGACTGAATAATGGAATGGGCGGCGGCATGAGAGTTATTACACGATAACATCGGGCGGGCTCTTCGCTCTCCGCTCTTCCCTTTTCCCTACTCAAAAAAAGCCCCGCTTACGCGGGGGCTTGGGAATAAAGGAACGGATCGAAATATCCTGGGTCGGGCCCAACAGGGCCTTTATGAATGTATAGGCACGATGCTTCCAGAAGGATGAACTGCTGTTGTATGTTGAAGTACCGACTTGAAAATGCTTTTCGGGCTCGCAGAAGCTTGTTGAGCGTTGGCCTTTTGGGCCAACAGAAAGAAAAGCGCACACGGGATTGCCATCCCTGTAAGAGTAAAATTTTTATACATGCTCCTGGTTTGAGTGAACAACGCTTTCGTAGGATCGGAATCAATACAGGGTTAACCTGGCATCAATGGGACGGAAAAAATAAAGGGTGCGGAGTAAAAATCGACTAATAGATACAGGTTGTATCTAAAGGGTTGCAAATGTATGCGAATAAAGTTTACAGGAACTTAACTTAGATCAAGTGGAGTTGGTTGTGATTCTAAATCAAGGGGAAGTATTTTAAAACTGTGGAAAAGTCGTACTTATTTATGTTCTTTCCATGTGTTATATGTCTCTTTTTGCACCGGCAAGTTCGCGGGAACTTCTCTCAATGGTTCAACAACCGCGAAGCTTTCATGCATTTTTGCCGGTAAAGCCTGGTAGATCGCAGTGCCTTGGGATTTCCATTTGATCATTTCATCCGTGACTTCTTTAATTATTCGTCCGGGATTGCCAACGACTACGCTTCGC